CTGTAGGCAATACAACCATGCCCTGTCCCCCACTGCCCATGGAAGCACGTGTTCCCGCCGGCCCGAGTTCTTTTCATTAGCTGATTGCGCTCTGGTGGGGAAAGGTCCTCGTTATGAATCGTTTCGCAACATTCAGGTCCAGAATACCTGCACTTAAAAACATGTAAACACTAGACGTAAAAATGATTGCAAATGAATAAAAACGTATTTTTAACAAATGTTTGTCCCTTATTTATTTTACAATGTTCATAGCAAAGACGTGTTAAGAGAGTTTCAGGTGGAAGATCTCCGTTACACAAGTCTGCCCTTAATCGGCAGCATCTTGGTTGTCTCCCCCATTATCATGTTCCTTAAGGGGAAAGGTCCACGTTGTTAATCGTTTCTAAGCGTACCAGTCCCTAATCCAGAAGCATGCCGTGGATAAACGATACTAAACAACCACGTAAAAACTACATACTGCAGCTACATATTATTACATTCCTTCCCTTTATTAATGCTACCCCTATCCCCTGCCTTTGATGCTGCTAATCCTGCATAATGCACGGGCATAATGACTTTCCCACTTTTAATGTAATATAGAGCATACTAATGCTTAACAAAATGGAGGAATTCACTTTTTCTTTTTACTTCTAAATTGCATGCATGAAATTCCACACTTTTTACCGTAATATATAGGCTACTCAGGCTAAACACAACCAAGAAATGCACTTTTAGTTGAAAAATAAAGCTAGGAAAATTGGATTTCGATTTAAAGCTTTCGTAACTGCAGGGATTCATCTTCTTGGTTCTTTCGGTAAAGTCACGTAGAAAGAAATAATCTTTCTGACAGACCTGTTCTTCACCTGACGGCTGCTTGCGTTGTGGCCGAAACGTCGTGAGAATAATTTATTTTTATTATTTTATTATTTCCATTCTACGTGACTTTACCGAAAGAACCAAGAAGACTAGGAAAATTGGACCAATTTTTCCAAAATACGGCATAGGTTAGTATGGCGATTTTATTTTTATGGACGTGAAAATGTCATTGAAATTTCGCCAGCGGTGTGCTGGAGAGTCAAGCAACGACATGTACAAAGTGCTGCTCATAGCGAGTAGCACCGATGGAGGTCGTCACGGCACACGAGGGGGTGGGTGGCCAGCACCACGCCCGGCCGCCTTTGTCTCCCTAGTGGCGATGTTGACACACCAAACCGGGTACTCGTTTGAGGCTGAGTCGAAACTCGCTCCCTTTATGTCAACAAACTTGAACTCTGACCCCGCTCTCTGACGTCACCGCGCAGCGTGACCTCATCGTCGTCAAACGCCAGGGGGAGGTGTTCCTCGCTAGTGACGTCATGTCACCCACCCCCGACCACCGCGCTCTTGAGCGTGACGTCATCTCTGCTCGGCCGCTGTCGATATCTGTCCCAGTGCCAATCCTTATTTGGGCAAAGCCACGCCCGGTACGTGGTGGCTCATTAACATAATGTGTCGTGAAAGCCGTCGCGAGCTGAGAGCCGCTCATTGTGGGAGGGGAGTGTCATCGTACCCGCAAGTGACGTCATGTCACCTGCTGCCGCGTGACGTCGCGAGGGACCAGGAAGTTGCCGCTCCGCCCGTGAACTGAAATCCGAGGTGAGAAATCCTCATCGCTGTTGTGGTTGTGGTGGTTGTTGTTGTGGTGGTGGTTGTTGTGGTTGCTGTTGTGGTGGTGGTTGTTGTGGTTGTTGCGGTGGTTGTGGTTGCGGTGGTGGTTGCGGTGATTGTGGTGGTTGTTGCGGTGGTGGTGGTTGCGGTGATTGTGGTGGTTGTTGCGGTGGTGGTGGTGGTTACGGTGGTGGTGGTTGCGGTGGTGGTGGTTGCGGTGGTGGTTGCGGTGGTGGTTGTGGTGGTGGTTGTTGTGGTGGTTGTGGTGGTGGTTGTGGTGGTGGTTGCGGCGGTGGTGGTGGTGGTGGTTGCGGTGGTGGTGGTGGTGGTTGCGGTGGTGGTTGCGGTGGTGGCGGTTGCGGTGGTGGTTGTGGTGTGGTGGTGGTTGTGGTGTGGTTGTTGTGGTGGTGGTGGTGGTTGTTGTTGTGGTTGTTGTTGTTTACCGAGGTAGAGCCTCGCTCTCTCTCTCGTTGGGATGTCAATTGAGTAGCAGCGAGCATGGAAGCGATGTCCAGGGTGGAACTTTACAACGCGGGGCCTTGCCTCCTGCCCTCGGCTGATCGCGTTTGCTTCAATTCTCTCGCTTAGTTTAGCAATCTGTGGAAGAACGCAATCAGCCAGTCTATGCGTTCATTGTGTGTTGACCGACTCTCTGTGTTGTATTGCATTACATTTCAAATGTTACGAAGTTTGTTTGATTAAGTGCAGTCACCAAGCCTCCAAATCTCTCATTGACACAAGGCCCTAATTATAATATGTTGTAATAATTATAATATGTTGTAATAATTATAATATGTTATAATAATTATAATATGTTATAATAATGATATGTTATAATAATTATAATATGTTATAATAATTAAATTTGCTCAAAATGTCCCCCCCAATATATTGCTATAAAAATATGTTTTTTTACTAATAATTGCGATGCTATGTTAATACAAACAATTTGCTAAACCTCGGCCACAAAATCTGGACTTGTCTTCATATAACAATGCATAGGTTTCTGTTTATATGATTGCGTTGTACTTTATGAATCCCTAATCTCTGCCATTACACACTATGAAACAAGAAAAGGTAAAAAAGAAAAAACATAGCAATGTAATACAATACACAGAGGCGTTGTTTCTCTGTGTGTCTCTGTGCGTCTCTGTCATCTCTCTCTGTGTCTATGTGTGTGTGTCTCTCTCTGTGTGTGTCTCTCTCTGTGTGTCTCTGTGTCATCTCTCTCTGTGTGTCTATGTGTGTGTCTCTGTGTCATCTCTCTCTGTGTGTCTATGTGTGTGTCTCTGTGTCATCTCTCTCTATGTGTCTCCGTGTCTGTGTTTTGTCTCTCTCTCAAATTGAGCAATCTTTGGAAAAACATAATCAATAATCAACCATGTGGGGTGTTGACTGTTATGTTAGCCGACTCTGTGTTGTATTGCATTACATTTCTAAGTTTCCTAGGTTTGTTTTCTCTTTCATTTGTACCTGATGATGATTGCTTGTGTTGCAATCGAAACATCATATGCTATTAAATTTTTTTTTCTACATCACTTTATTGAAAGAACCAGAGTATCTTGCTTAAGTTTTAATTTCTCTTCACCTGGCTCGCTACTTTGTAACTTTGTTTTATTTTCAATATTCACAGTTTTTTTTCATTTTTTACCAGGCCACGCCCGCTTGAGCTGCTGTACCGCTCTTGTATTCAGAAGCGTGGCGGTGTTCACTCTAGACGCGTGACGGTGGTCACTCTTGACGCGTGGCGGTGGTCACTCTAGACGCGTGGCGGTGGTCACTCTAGACGCGTGGCGGTGTTCACTCTGGACGCGTGGTGGTGTTCACTTTCTACATGTGGAGGGGAAACCCGGCGATTGGGAAGGAAATCAATGCAACCACGGGGAGAGAGGGAGAGACACGCAGCCTCGGCTGTGTTGATTGATCCTTAATGAATTACTTGGTGGAGTGAGGAAGCATTAATACTGAGCAGGTGAAGGTGGCCAGGCGTGAGTCTGGACACACCACCACCTGTGAACCATGCCAGTGTGTGACAGTGGTGGAGCCAGTGGGGGTGGGGTGGCACGTGCCCCCCCCCCCCCCCCCACGATCCGATAGAAATCCTTAATTTCGATGGGATCATTGGGGTTTATTATTAAATAGCTTCACTACCCGGCTTCGCCCGGGACTTGGATTCTTGTCTTGGATAAATTTCATATTCCCTCATATTTCACTGAAACACCCAGAAAAAAATTGATGCTTGCAAGAAAGAAAAAAGCTGAAACAAATCAAGTTACCTAAATCGGATGTTTTCACTGAAGGAAATTCAACCTTAATCCACTTCTACGCAAGGTCGATTTTGGCCACTTGGGAAGGGAATGACGTGGCGAGCTGAAAAGTCGCGTTCACTTAGAAATTCCAGACAGCATTGCAGACCGCTTAACTCAGGTGTGATGCGGGTTGACGCCACACACTTCATGGTCATTCCCCCCCCCCCCCCCCTAAAATACAAAAGTCTATTTTTATACTTTTTGCATTGTGTACAGTTTGGAACCTACCCACATGCAAAATTTCAAGTGTGTGGCATGTTGGGAAGTATGCTAAACATTTCGAACAGACACGTATCCACACGTTTCCCTTTTATATATATAGATAAATCGGCATTTTGCGACCCCCAGTGCCATCGTGTGGGAAATTATTACATTTCAGGGACTCTATGAGAGGACAACATAAGTAACGGCAAAGCAGTTACAAACCACTCGCAGAATTGTGCGAAGTGGCGTATACAGTACACGACTTCCCTGAAGGCATCACCTTCAGCGAGCGCAATGCCGATCACACGCGTCGAATAAAAAGCAAGGGACAAGTCCTTACTAACAACTCCTATCATTTTTCATTGCTGGAGGGGTTGCGACCCCTACCTGAAATCCTGGCTCCGCCTCTGAGTGTGTGACAGTGTCAAGTTTGTATTTGCAGTAAAGTCTATTAATGCTATTGAGCAGGGAGGTTATATCAAAACAGTAGTTTATTTTAGTTTTCCTCTGGAAGTCTTTATAAGAATGGAGTCAGGAAGTTATCACAGCACACGTGCAGCTGACGTCGGAACTGTTCATCCCTCCATTCAAGGACATCTGTGTCTGGCTTCACACCTCTAAGTTGTGATTGAACATTAATTTATGCATATCTGCATAACACAAATAGTAATTTTTTTCAACACCCTTTGCTATGTCAGCTGAATTTAGCTTTCATAAATATTCCTTTTGAAGCCAGACAGCCTAAATTGTGTGCTCGGAGTTTTGGGTTAACATTCATTTTGAAGATACGAGCGCTTCCAGGCATGTTTATGACCATTTGCCCTCTCATTGTGTGCCATAACAGCTCGCGTGATGAATTTGGGACACGTTTTTGCCTATATCATAAAATATGAATAACTATAGATGTGTAAGTCACGTGTGACTATATATATATGCATTCCTCTATGCCTCGATACTGATGTGTAGATGGTGTGGATATTCTTTTTTTCTGTCTGCAGCTGTCGCTTCCTCTGCAAAATTGGTCTGATGGAGCAAAGATACTCGGCGCGACTCGGTGCAAAAAGGCAACAATGTGACCGGTGTGCATACAGCACGGATCGTCCTGAACATTTTACACAGCACCAGAGAACTCACACAGGAGAGAAACCCTTCAAGTGCAGTGTGTGTGGAAAGGCGTTTGCACGTTCATATACTCTTGTAGAACACCAGAGAACACACACGGGAGAGAAACCCTTCAAGTGCAGTGTGTGTGAGAAGGCGTTTGTACAGTCATCTGCTCTTGTAGAACACCAGAGAACACACACGGGAGAGAAACCCTTCAAGTGCAGTGTGTGTGGAAAGGCATTTGCACGTTCATCAACTCTTAAAAAACACCAGAGAACACACACGGGAGAGAAACCCTTCAAGTGCAGTGTGTGTGGGAAGGCGTTTGCACAGTCATCTGTTCTTGTAGAACACCAGAGAACACACACGGGAGAGAAACCCTTCAAGTGCAGTGTGTGTGGGAAGGCGTTTGCATGTTCATCGACTCTTAAAAAACACCAGAGAACACACACGGGAGAGAAACCCTTCAAGTGCAGTGTGTGTGGGAAGGCGTTTGCACAGTCATCTGTTCTTGTAGAACACCAGAGAACACACACGGGAGAGAACCCCTTCAAGTGCAGTGTGTGTGGGAAGGGGTTTGCACAGTCACCACATCTTCAAAGACACCAGAGGACACACACGGGAGAGAAACCCTTCAGGTGCAGTGTATGTGGGAAGACGTTTTCAGTTTCATCTAATCTTGTACAACACCAGAGAACACACACGGGAGAGAAACCCTTCAAGTGCAGTGTGTGTGGGAAGGCGTTTGCACATTCAATTACTCTTGTAGAACACCAGAGAACACACACGGGAGAGAAACCCTTCAGGTGCAGTGTGTGTGGGAAGGCGTTTAAACATTCATCTGCTTTTGTAGTACACCAGAGAACACACACGGGAGAGAAACCCTTCAGGTGCATTCTGTGCGGGAAGGCGTTTGCACGTTCATCAATTCTTCATGTACACCAGAGAACACACACAGGAGAGAAACCCTTCAGGTGCACTCTGTGCGGGACGGCGTTTGCACGTAAACAAATTCTTCAAAAACACCAGAGAACACACAAGCATCAGAATATCCACAAGGAGTGGAGTCTGAAATCAGCTTGTGAAAGTCAAAGTGCCGCAATTAGCCCATCCCTCATGAAACAAGAACCGGAAGAAAATCCCAGCTTGGACACTTTTAAAGGTATCGAGGTGAATATGAGGAGGTGAAATATGAGGAGGTGAAATGTGAAGAAGTGATGGTGAAGAGTGAAGAAGTGAAGGTAAAATGTGAAGATGAAGATTCAACTCCAAAATCGGACCTTCACATTGATGGAGGCAACGTGAAGCAGGAGGAGAATTCTCACTGTGAGGCAGAGCGAGGCAACTCCCAGCAGTTTGTGGAAGTGGAGGTGTGGGTGGACTTCCTCTGAGACAATACAAAGTCAAATGGAGACCCGGTAGATGTGTAAGCTTGAGACGATTGTTCTCCAATAGATGCACCTTTGTCACAGACATTTAATGACCAGAAAGAAGTTGAACCCTCAATTCCTAGGTTCAACTTGCAGGGTAAGAGCGGCCAGTGTTTGTGGACATGTGGGTTGGGTAGATCTCTAACCAGGAGCGAGAACCAATACACTCCCAAGCATTCACTATGTTCTAATAATTCCATTTATATGGTGCTTAATCGCCCGGCAATTCAGAGTTTTGTACCGTATCGTCTCAAACACTCGAAGAGCATCCCCAGGTAGCAGCTGCCCCTGTGTGGCATAAGGTGGTGGCCCTGCACCGGCCTGCATGTGGACAAGATCCTGTTTGGAATTTGCTCAATTTTGACCCAGACGCCAGCATGCAATGGCCTACTCGTTTTGAATGGCGCAATAGTATGTTGTACATAAACTGTTAAGCAGACGGTGCATATTGTTTTTTTAAATAGCTTCTTGTTAATACGATGTAACCTGTTGCAGTATATTTCAGTGCAGTAATTCAATTTTGTTAAAATGACTCCATAATTTAGAATGAATACTTGAATGATTGATTGCGTACATGTAACATTTTGTCTATAAGGGTCAAATATTGAATAAGTGATGTTAGGACAAAGAGTGTTTTGGAATAACCTGTAATGATAACTCGGGTGAGACCCGTTCTTCTGATACAAGTCAAAGGGTATTTTTGTGTTTTTAGGAAGCGTCTGCCTCTGGAGCAACTCATTGTCTTTGAAATAGGGAGCACACACCTACGTGACTTTACCGAAAAAACCTAAGATTATGAATCCTTGCAGTCACGGAAGCTTCAAATCTAGAAGAAAATGCCACTCAAAAGTTACACGTAGAGGAACATTCTCTACAACACGAATTATAATTGTGTCTTACGTGTTGACGTAGATTTTGTCTAACTAGGACGAGAAATGCCCCTTGCTGATTAACGTCTAGATGTTCGTAACTATCGGTTGAAGCAAGCCCGGCTGCTCTTGAGACGCTGTGCACCAATAAGGCTCCACAGGTGGCTTGCATTGAATCAATGATGCACTCCCAGAAGACTGTGCTAGTTATAGTTTGTGTAAAACATTCCTTTGTTTCGTGGAGAGATCGATAAATGAAAGATGTCGTGTCTGCTGGTCTGCTTCATAGCTAGGAGGTAATTTTAAGAGCACATTTGAAATGCATTTTTGGTACAGATTTGTATTAGGTTACAAGGCAGAGCGCATCTAGTAGATACATTCTCCACACAACACTCATTCGAAATTTGCATGACGTCTTATATGTTGGCGAACTAGGACAAAAAATGGTCCTTGCCGATTAACGTCTGGATGTTCACAACCATGGGTTGAAGCAAGCCTGACCGCCTACAGCCCCCTCACAACCATTTACGGCCTTGGGCCAGGAAAGTCACGAAAAAAATTGCGCACGAACGACGCATCCACGCAAACTCCCGATGCTCCGTTTTGAATTAGATAATTTTATTTCTTCATTAAAGCTTATATAATTTTACATCTGGAAGCCTTCATTGAAAACATTTTGCGTGAATTTTCTCTAGTCGTTAAGTAGATGGCCTTACCGGGGTTCAGTTCGCGTGAATTTTCTCTAGTCGTTAAGTAGATGGCCTTACCGGGGTTCGGTTCGATGCGGACTTTCACCTGGTTGGGATTGCAGGGTGGAGATGAGGCGACATAGAGCTGACCGTGCCAGAAAACCGCCGTCTCCAGATCGATTCCAACGTGAGCTAACGTCTGTCCCTGCGCCTCCGTCATTCATGCAGGGGGCGCGTAGGTTTGCAGCGCCCCCTGCATGAAAACGATGGAAAGTGCAGCGTTCATCACAGATAGATGAAGTGCGCTGATATAAGAGTATGAGCGGGAAGTACCCGGCGTTGCCTGGGCGAAAAAGACACACACACACATGGGCTTAGACACATGCACAGACATTCGCTTCAGATACACATTGAGTTACACACGCAAATCGACATACACACATACAGCGACTCAAACACGTAGACTCTCACACACACATGGACCTAAGCACACATGGATTTACACACATCGACTAAGAGACACACACATGGACGTACACACAACATGGACCCACGCACACACATGGACTCGCATACATATGTAATATATAAAATCGTGAATCTGTCTGTCTGTCTGTGTGTCTGTGTGTCTCCGGACCATACGCACTTTCATTGGACGCCGGTTGCCCCTGCCAACGGCTAGCGACGCCTTCGCCGCTTTCATTGGACCTGGCAACGGCTAGCGACGCCTTCGCCAAGGGCTGCAGTTTCATTGGACGGCGGTTGCCCCTGCCAACGGCTAGCCACGCCTTCGCCACTTTCATAGGCTCCGTAATTAATTAAATAATAGCCATTACTCAGTATTGTTCGAGCGCTAGGGGGGGGGGGGGACCGGCACCCGTACCCAGCGTCAGCCGGGTGGGAAATTCAGGCGAGGCGGGAGGCTCTGCACGGTGCTAGGCCTCGACACCCACCACGCGAATCTAAGGTAAATTCATAAAAGTTTCACGTCCTCTACAGAGTCGTGAGGGAGGGAGAGTGGCGAGGGAGGGAGAGTGGCGAGGGAGGGACTCAGCCTCAAAACGAGTAACTGGTGTGGCGTTTTCACATCGGCACTGGGGAGACAAAGGCGGCCGGGCGTGGTGGATCCAAGTCCCGGGCGAAGCCGGGTCATGTCTATGTGTGTATGTGTTTATGTGTATGTCTGTGTGTCTCTATGTATGTGTGTATGTATGTGTGTGTGTTTGTGTGTTTATGTGTGTGTATGTATGTCGGTTTTTTTATGTGTTTATGTGTATGTCTGCTTGTCTGTATGTATGTGTGTATGTACGTGTGTGTATGTGTTTGTGTGTATGTATGTGTGTTTGTATCTATGTGTGTGTATGTTTTTCTGTGTATGTATGTGTGTGTATGTATGTGTGTTATGTGTCTGTCTGTGTGTCTGCATGTATGTGTGTGTGTATTGTGTATGTGTTTGTGTGTATGTATGTTTGTGTGTATGTGTATGTCTCTGTGTATGTATGTGTGTGTATGTGTGTGTATGTGTTTGTGTGTATGTGTGTGCATGTATGTGTGTGTATGTCTTTGTATGTGTTTGTGTGTTTACGCTCGCATTACACAAATGTGTTGCAGCTCTAAGGCGTTCCTCGCGCAGCATTTACGCTTTATTCTTTCAGTCGTTTACTGCCGTACGCACCCTCACAGTCGTGTGTGTCTGCAGCAAGCGCGTGTATGTGTACCTATGGACGCGCGCGCGTGTGTTGTGTAGGGGGAACGGTAGTGTAGTGGTTAGCGTGCTGTCTGTGTGTGTGTGTCTGTGTGTGTGTGTCTGTGTGTGTGTCTGTGTGTGTGCGTGTGTGGTGTGTGGGGAGCGGTAGTGTAGTGGTTAGCGTGCTGTCTGTGTGTGTGTGTGTCTGTCTGTGTGTGTCTGCGTGTGTCTGTGTGTGTGTCTGTGCGTGTGTGGTGTGTGAGGAGCGGTGGGTGTAGTGGTTAACGCTACGCTGCGCTACAAAGCCGGCGAACCGAGTTCGATTCCCGCTCACGGCCACCACCGGTGACGATTATTTGAACCTCCCCTAGGTCGACTCAGCCTCAAACGATTAACTGGTGTGGCGTATTAACATCGCCACTGGGGAGACAAAGGCGGCCGGGCGTGAGTGGTGAGGGAGGGAGAATGGTGAGGGAGGGAAAGTGGTGAGGGAGGGAGAGTGGTGAGGGAGGCAGAGTGGTGAGGGAGGGACTCTGCCTCAAAACGAGTAACTGGTGTGGCGTATTAACATCGCCACTGGGGAGACAAAGGCGGCCGGGCGTGGTGGATCCAAGTCCCGGGCGAAGCCGGGTAGTACAGCTAGTATGTAATAAACGACTCTGTCAGGCTTTCTTGATCTCTGTTGTCGTTTATTTAGGTTCTTCGTATCGCACCCCGCTGGTCCTCGCCCGGACCCACACCGCCTCCGCCGCGCGCCCCGCGACGCTCCGTGTGGCCCGCACTCGCTGGTGGCCGCTCCGCTCTCTCCGTGTGCCCCGCACACGCCGCCAGCCACACCGCTCGCTCCGTGTTCCCCGCACACTCTGCTAGTCACTCACTAGCCACGTGTGCCCCGCACACTCTGCTAGCCCCTCACACTCTGCTAGCCCTGTCTACCCCACGCACACCGCTGGCCGACGGTGTGCGTAGGTCTTCGACCACGTGGCAGATGGCGCTGCTCCACCACGTGGCAGATGGCACCATCTCCCGCACTGCCCAGCGTGGCTTCCCCTATTCTCGCTCCGTTTCAACTTCCCGATCTCTTCCGGCTCTCTCCCTATATCCTTCCCATCACGTGACCCTGACTCCTCCTTCCCGTACTGACCTCGTCTCCCATTGGAGCCGAGGTGAGCAGTGGCTCCTCCCACACGCTCCGTGTGATTGGCGCGGAGGCCAGCAACCAGCCCCGTTTATGCTCGCATTACACATATGTTGAAGTGCAAATGACGACACGGAGGCAGGTCTTCAGTTAAGGGCTTGCGCCAGTTATTTATTAAGGGT